GGATGCCCCGACTCCAGCCCGGCTGCTCCGAGCGCCCCGCGGTGTGTGCGCTTGCAGCCTGGTTGCCGGCAGGGGCAGCCCCGCCGTCCCGCCCTCAGCGCTCCCGCTACCCGCCCCGGCGGAGGCTGCGGCCCCTTCAACCGTAGTTGAAAGCCAACGAGGAGGCTCAAAGGCATAGGTGCAGAAAAGATCATCCCGGCCGAGAAGGCAGATGCAATTACATGGGTTTTTTTTTGCAGCAGTGAGCTGGCCAGTCAGATGGTTTAGTGGTGAACTTGGCAGGGCTAAGTTAACGGTTGGACTTGATGATCTTTAAAGGTCTTTTCCAACCTAAACTATTCTATGATTTTATGTCTTGTCCAGTGCAGATGGAGAGAGACTTTGGGCAGGGAGCGTGGCGGCAAAGAGGGGAAAAAGAAGGTCACAAGTCCGTAGGAAGCCCTCGGGCACGTAGCAAAGTATGCCGTAACGCTCCTCTCTCCCTCATAGGTTGTCTGAGTTCATCAGTGAAATATTAGAATAGTTTGCACTTCATGATTGGCGAACAACATTTAACTTTTGGCTTATTTTCCACAAAATACTGCTGCACTGGAAAGAGGAGTGTGAACTACAGAGCACTAACTAGTCCAGAGGACATCTGGCATGGTTGTTGTGAAATGGGGCTGATCTGCTCCACTCAGGGTGTGCGGTAAATGTCCCCCCAGGTGCCTGTGCGGTCCACAGACTCCAAAAATCACGAACCGGTGTCATTGCAGTACAAAAGGAGCACGCGAGTTCTCATTTAGAAGCCAAGATGCAGATGTTCATGCCCGAACCTCAGATTTTTGTGGAAAGAACTCTGGCCCTCATCAAACCAGATGTTATTGATAAGGAAGAAGAAATCGAGGATCACATTCTCCGATCGGGATTCCTCATCGTTCAGGTAACGGGCTGCGCTCCCGAGAAAATAACTGCCGTAACTAAAAGGCAGTGCGTCCAAAAATCAATTTCTGTTCGTCGTAAGGTCATCACCCACCGCCGCCAGATTGTGTAGGGACGCGTTTGGTCGGTCGCACGGGGTTGGAACGGAGCAGACCCGCTCCTTTGCGGACCGCGGGCGGACGCGCAGCGGGCGGGGCCACTCCCCGCGGCCGCGCTGCGGCCTCCGCTGGGGGGCGCTGTGCCCTCGCGCCTGCCACC